GAAAAAGAGCATCCCATGAGATTACATTAAAAACTGTAGTGTCACAAGTTTGAATTTCATTAATGTTTTGATTAAAAAAAAAAATCATTAAACTCTTGTCATACATTATCTTAATATTTTTCCTTTTTAATTTATTTTATGTTGTAGCAATATTTTCACAGCACTAATTTTGCGATAACTCAAAGCTATTTGACTTATTTTTTTCATACAGAGTTGAATTCATAATTTTAATTTTAATACAATCTCTATTATGATTTGGGGTGTGTACAAATTAAATCGATCAATAAATTAAATTAAAAAATGCTATTAATTTATTGTTATTGGGTCATTGAGTTACCAGATGTCCTAATGGTTTTATAAAAAAAAATATATCGAGTTATCGGTTTGATTTTGGTTTTATATATTAAGTTATTGAGTAAACCGATAATCTATTACTATTGTTTACTTTTTTTTACCCCTACATAAATATTAAATATTAATATTAATACTTTATTGGTTATTAGTTTTGTCATTTAACCTTCAATTCACATTATTGTCTTAGTTATTTTATTGTTGCACTTGTATAGTATGTTAGTTACTACTGTTTTTGTTTAATGAGGAAAAATGGAAAGTTACATTATTGTTCTGTCATATCAAATTATTGGACAAGTCATATATTTATTTTATGCGAATTTTTTTATTAGTTAAATCGAAAATTGAACTGTTAAAGATAAAAAATAAATAAATCAAAAATCGATAAAAAAAATATTATTTTTTTTAGTATTTAAAAATAAAAATTGATAAATCAAATTGAACTGATTGATGCATTTTCTAACTGTCAATTAATTATCCACAAGTACACTGATTCAAAAAGCACGCGCAAGCTACTATAATTGTCAATATGTCAATCAAAATATGTACCTTGTTACCCTACATTATAGTATATGTAAACCTATAATTTAATGTATAGAAATAAATTTCATATAGAAAAAGTGAATCAAAAATTTTAGGGTCCAATGTCATCTCAAAAGGGCACAAAATTTATCTATATTCTGCACTAATCAATGATATAAAAAAGTACTCTGCAATGGCACATGCCAATATTTAATTATACATAAGTCTATGTTCATATATTAAATGTTTATAAGATTTTTTTTTAATTGAAATAGTTCTGTTTTAATACTTGTCTTTGTATGGACATTATCATTTGCTATCTACTCTGAAAAATTGTTTGCTATCCACCAACATAAAGGAAATAAAGAGAAAATGACAGTTTCTTTTGCTTCGTCGAAGTTCCTACCTATCTATTAAAAGTTCCCTCCTAAGACGGAGGCGAAATCGGTTTCCCCTAAACTATAAAAAATGTGCTTTTTTTATTTATTTTTTAAAAGAAAATTATTTAACTATGTATAATTCAAGTCGAGGATAAAGATTGAGAAATGACTATAGCGATAAATTTGAATTGGAAATAAAACCTAGTAATTCAAACTATAACGCTCAATTACTTCTTTGGCATTTTTCATTTTTTTAAATATATGTTTGGTAGTAAAAAATTGAAAAATATATTTTTTTAAAGAATAATTTTAAAATAACTTTCTTAATGGAACTAAGATAAACAAGCTACACAAGTGGCACTCCACATTAATTGTCTTCTCCCTAAACTCCAACACATAACACCTCCACCTTCATAGCCCACACCAACACCTTAAGAGGTCGTTTGATAGCTAGTTTGAAGGTGAGTTATGCAAGTATAAAATTTCGCTTCATGTTTGGTAGCTGATTAGAAAGTAAATTATTTATATATAAAATTAACATGGTATTTAATTTGTAATTTTCAAACCCGAATAACTAACAAATGTATAAATTAAGAGGAATAATACATAAATAATTAAATTCTGCATAGAATAACACATAAATTCCGCAGTACATAAATAACTACTTTTGTAAAGCCTTTTAAGAAAAAATAATAATCAAACTTTGGGCTTTATTATAAACATCTACTATCGTAAAGCCCATTTGGCTTAGGCCTTAGCGAATTAACAGCAGGTTTGGAGTGACTTAGGCTTCTGACTTATTTCTAACTTGTGACTTTTGATATATTTTTTGTTATGTTGACTTAAAAACAAATGTTTATAAATATTTTTTAATTTTACTCAAATATTTCAAAACTATTTAAAAGTTATTTTGATTTAAAAACACCTAAAACAAATCAATCTAAATGGACTTCTTAGACAAAAAAATGATTGATTGAGAGATCTGATTTATCAGCCTAACTCCAAATTAGCAAAGTTCAAATCTTCTCAGACAAAAATATGATTGATATAGAAAGATCTGATTGCATAAGCCTTTAACTCCAGTAGCTAAGTTTTGTTCTTCCTGAACGAAAAGATGGTTATAATAATGAGATTTGACTATATAAGTCTTAACTCTAGAATAGCTAAGCTCGGCTCTTCTCAGACAAAAAAATGATTATAAAAATGAGATTTGACTATATAAGCCTCAACTCCAAAATAGCTGAGTTCGGCTCTTCCCATACAAAAAAATGGTTATAATAATGAGATTTGATTATAGCCTCAACTTTATAAATATCTAAGTTCGGCTCTTCCCAGATAAAAAAAATTGTTATAGAGAAATTTGACTGTATAACCCTTAATTCCCTATTAGCTAAGTTCGGATCTTCTCAGACAAAACATAATACTTTATAGCATCCAAAAAGTGCAAATATAGTTTGCAAGAAGAAAAAACAGGGCATATTTTTAAAATGCTCAGTCTATTCTGGATTTTTATATATTCAACCATAATTTTGATTTATTTTTTATCCTTGTGCTTAGTGTAGTAATTGTTTTTCCCTTACAACACATTAGTTTCCAGGGCAATTATGTCACTAATTGACACTTTTGGGAATACACCCTAATTCTCCAAGATTTCTACATAACCATGGTTTTAAAATAGGAAATAGATTTCACCAGATATTCTTTATATTATAGTCATCCTCGGCGTCGAGCTATCTTTCTTCAGGACATCCCCTACACTATTGTCATCGACTTATCGTAGTAGAGTTTAACCACCATGTTCATAATGAATTGGTATGGTTCCTCTATGTCTAGGACTTCAAAGTATTGAACCTGAAATGAAATCATGGCTTAGCATGTTTTCTGAATGTATTCCCCATATAAGATACATACTTTGGATCAATGAGGAGTCGAATTACTATTTTATACTTGATTAAAAAAAAAGAATTGAAGAAATCATGAAACCAAACCATGTTCTATAAACAAATTTAAACAAACTCAAAGGCGGACCTATGTGGGGGTTTTGGGGGTTCAGACACATGAAAAGTAGAATTACAAATGCCCCAATACGGAGGTGCGAGAAGTTAAAAGTTAGAGGTAAAGGTAAAAGTAGGCCAAAGAAGAATTGAGAAGAGATGATTAGGCAGTACAAGCTCTCCTTATAGTTCTAGTCACCTTATATGCCCCCCCCCCCCCCCCCCCCGGGCCTTTCTTACCATATTATCTTTATCATTCTACCGTTCTCTTATTCTTCAATTTTTTTTACTATTACTATTGCTTCTTTTACTTTGTGTATCTTTACTATTTTTTTTTGTCATTAATTTTTCCTTTGTTATTTTCATTACATATTTTTACTCTTATATTTCTCAAACCTTTTTTGAACATCACTTTTCTTGAACTAAAGGTCTTTCAAAAACATCTTACCCACTCAAATTCACTTGTGGAATCACACTAGTTATGTTGTTAATTTTGATTTTTTTTTTTATAATGGTCATATGTATTCTTTTTGAGGTGCAATAGTAAAAGATTTATATATTAAAACAAGATAATATCATTATTTTTTAATAAATGTAGTGTCTGAGCCACTTTATTAAAACTCGACTATTTACACACGATCACGTAATTCTGTTCATTAAGGCTATGACAAATGAAAAGAAATTATCTAGGTGTTGTTTCTCATTGTTGGGATCTTAAGGTGATACTTCATGATTCTCAATCCAGTTCATTGACGATTAAAGTTTTTTCTTTCATTATACCCTAATTTTTGCTTAGTTTGCATGTATATGGATACCAAGAAATTGTGAGTCTTTCAACAAAACTTCTTTTCAAGTAGTTTTAAATTTACCTTGTTCCCTTTTAACATCTTCACTTATTACAGACAATTACATGATTGAACTTTAGGAAAAAAAGTTCAAATGCTTCAGAAGGTAAACTATGATGCTCTGAACAGTTACCAAAAAGCAGGAGATATCTACTACAATACAACCTTTTCTTCGAAAGTAGAGTAAAGATTTAAAATTTATATATTTGAGATTCAATTTTCTTAAAGTTATAAATTTTAAATTAATAATTATACATATGTAATAAATTTTATCACTACAAATTCAAAATTCAGATCAAATTTATCAAATTCGATTAAATCCATAACCAAAACACTTTGGCCAAAAACATATGCCTTATCCATAATAATTATATTGTTATTAAATATATATATATACTTAATATAAATGGATTGCTACTTGAATTTTGATTGCTATTTTCCCAAATTATTAATATGAACCAATTATTTTATTTTATTTTTCTATTTCGCTCATTATTTTCATTACCTTTATTTAATTTTATATTAAAAAATAAGTTTATATATAAAACAAAAACCCCACCAAATAAAATTTTACTAAATATATTATTGTTATTATATTTACAAAACAATACTTTCTTTATTTCAATTTGAATCTGTCCTTAAAAAATATATTTTTATATTAAAAAGTATCATAGATAATAAGTAATAGCTCCTGATATGAAAACACACTAAACTTGGTGATTGTCATAACTTGTTTTTCTTTTTCCTTCTAAAAAAACGTCTTAAATAACCACCTTTAAAACTAGGTAAAAGTACTATATTTTTAGATCATAATTTATTTAAAAAAATCTTATAATTTATGTGAAATTAAAATTAAAGGGGGGTCATTTAAATAAAAATTGGGACATTAGTAGTATTATGTTTTGTAACAAAAAGGGAAAAAAGGGGTTACCCTAAAGTCACAATTCATTGCCGGATTGACAGTCACAGTTCATTCACTCGCCGGAGAGCAGTAGAAAATGGTGGTGAGATTAAGGTTATCGAGGTTTGGATGCAAAAACAAACCTTTTTACAGAGTAATGGCGGCCGATAGCAGATCTCCAAGAGACGGCAAACACTTGGAAGTACTTGGTTACTACAATCCTTTACCAGGTAACAAACACAATTTTCCCCTATTTTTATTGACTGATTATGCTCTTTATCATTAAAAATTGATTTTATTACACATTTCACCTTACTTTGGATTACCCCATGTGAAAAAATTTCATCTTTTAGCTTTATTTGTACTGTTGTTGAGAGAGACCTCAGTTCTTGAATTCAAATATTTGTTGTTTTGTTGAGGTACTGATGTATAAGTTTGTACAATTTTCACTTTGTACAGGGCAAGATGGTGGTAAACGGATGGGTCTTAATTTTGATAGGTTGAAGTAAGTAAAGTTCCAAACTTGTTGTTTTTGTTGTGATTGATTCCCAATTTCATGTGTTCCATTTGTAATTTGGAGACTCTTGAATTGCATTTTTCTCTCTTGTTAAAGTTCAGATGACTGACAACAAGTTAAAGGGTGAACCCTATTAGAGTTCAGGTCATGTATTGTGCTTTTGTTGTTGTTGTCTGGCAAAGAATATTGTAACACTACTCAAAGGTAATAATTCAGTTGCTTCTGCAGGCTGTAGAAGCTCAACATTGGTATAGCTTTTCTATTAGGCAAAGCTTATTTGATCTGGAAAATCATTGAAATTCTTGTATCTCTATGAATTGGTACGGTTAAGACTGGTTTATAGCTGTAGGATCAAGAATAACATTGTAGTTGCGTAAAACAGATTTTGCTAATTGGTCATTTTAAATTTTCTGTCCATCTTGCTTGTAGTCTTCAAAAAGAATATAGTTGACTTAGGGATTGACTGAATACGCTGGCCAAACCAGATTGTTGTCAGATGCATATCAGAAATGCAATGCCTTAATCAGTGACAAAAGATGAACAAAATTTTCTCATGAGCTGCCTCAAAGAATGAGTGAGTGGAACAGGGAGCTGACTTAATGCAGTACTTTGAAGTGTTTAGGGAGTTTCTAGGGTGACTATTGTGTGTGTGTCTATATATATATAAAGTGTTTTGGGTAATTCTAGGGTAACTATTGCCAGATATGTACAAGGGATCAAATAAGCTATTTGAATTGAGTTATCGAGGAAGTTGTATGGAATAGGTGCAACTGGAGCTAAGGAGGTTATGGACCAATGTTAATTATGTTGGCGAAAAGGCAAAGATAACAATGCAATTGAGATTCTGATGTGCCTCAAGTTATAAAAACTTATTCCAGGAGGCCAAAATAAACAATTAAGAACTTAGTAATTGTCATGTGACAGTTACACATGTATTGGGTGGTTTTTTCTATAGAAATAGGGGCAGGGCATTTAAAACAAGGGTATTCAGAAAATAAAGAAAAGGGAATTTTGGGAGAGTTTCTAGCCTCTCGAATGTCTAGAAAGGTTGTGATCTTTATGATTATATAACTAAAGTTCATTATTGTCTTAGGATGTGATTTATTATGTCAGTAGTGTACTCGTGATTGTTTTGTTTTCAGACTTCTTGTTGTAATATCAATGAATCTAGTGTGAAACAATAGTATTTGTTTCTTTATTTTCTATTCCAGCGGTAAAGCCTATCAAATTGGTATCAGAGCAGTAACGTTTAGGGATGGTGAGTAGAATGGAGGGACGAGTCGAACAAGTGGAGACAAATTTGACAGGGGTAAGAGAAGATGTCAGAAAACTGGAAGGATGGTTTCAAGAAATGACAGAGACTCTTGCGAGAATTGAAGCACAAGGGAGAACTATGATGGCAGAAGCATCCCCTTCTCAAACCAGATCTGTCGAAAACCAAGAAGAGGGAAGCAATGTCAACTGGGCTGGATAAAAAGATGGGAAGAAGTTTCAGAAACTACAACTACCAGTTTTCGAAGGAGAGGATCCTTTGGGATGGATTTTTAGAGAGGAGCGATATTTTGCCATGAATGAAATCTCTGAAGCGGAAAGATTACAAGCAGCAGGTGTTTGTTTGGAAGGAAAAGCCTTAAATTGGTATTATTGGATGGAATCTCGGCAACAAATGTTAACCTGGGAAGACTTCAAAAGAGAGTTGTTGAACCGATTTCATCATTCTCAAAAAATCAACCAATATGTTGTCTTAATGGGGTTGAAGCAGGTTAGCACAGTTACCGTGTTTCGTGAAGAATTTGAAAAGGTGTCAGCATCTATGAAGGAGGCATCTGATGGAATGTTATCTGGAGTGTTTTTAAATGGGCTGAAAGAGGAAATTCGGGCAGAACTGATGTTGTTACAGGCTCAAACATTGAGGGAGATAATGGAGATGGCTCAAAAGGTGGAGGATCGAAATTATGTTTTGCAGCAAGTACAAGGTTTTAAATTTGAATCAGGCAAAGGAGGTGCAAGCAATAAACCAGTTGGGTTTAGACCCAATTATCACCGAATTGCAAACATTCTTGAATCACGTGACTCAAGAGCCGAAGTAGCAAGTCGTAACACTGATTCACCAGTTCATACTGCCACAAAGTCGACTAGCTTCAACGGGACTGCAGTAGCAAAGTCTGAAGGACAATTCAAAAGGTTGTTTGATTCAAAATTTGCCCGAAAAAGAGAGCTAGGGTTATGTTTCAGATGTGATGAAAAATTTGGCCCTAATCATCGTTGTAAAAATAGGCAGCTTAACCTATTGATTATTTCAGAGGCACCCAACACAGATGAAGGTGAAACAGAGGAATTCTTTGAGTCTACCGGAGAAGAGGTAGCTGAAGGGGAAATGAAAGGTACTATGATGGTGTTGAATATGAATTTAGTTGTGGACCTTACAGGAGGTAGAACAATGAAACTTGTGGGGAAGATTCATGGGCATGACGTGATAATTTTGGTCGATAGTGGAGCTACCCATAATTTTATATCATCCACCCTCGCTCATCATCTGCAATTACCTATTAAGAAGACCAAAGGATTTGAAGTAACAATTGGTAATGGTCAGCAGGTTAGTGGGAGTGAAGTATGCAAAGAGGTAAGGATAGATGCGCAATGAGTCCAAATCAACCAACAATATTTTCTATTTGAATTGAGGGGAATTGATGTGGTATTAGGGATGGAATGGTTGGCCACATTAGGAGAGATGAGGGTGAATTGGAAACTTCTTATCATGAAATTCAAAGATGCAGGAAGATTGGTGTCGCTTTGAGGTGATCCAGCCATGGTTCGAACAATAGTGTCACTCAAAGCCATGACCAATTTGTTAAAGAAAGGAAACCAAGGATTTCTGGTCTAGTTGAATCAGGTAACAATAACTGAAGATGAAACAACTATAACATCAAAGGAGATTGAAAAGTTATTATATGATTATCTAGAAGTAAGTGAGCAGGCCTTAGGCCTACCACCACGTCGTTCTTGGGATCATGCTATTACTCTTCAATCTGGAGCACAACCACCAAACATTCGTCCATATCGATATCCTCATTCTCAAAAAGCAGAGATCGAGCGTTTGGTCAAAGAGATGCTGGCTGCTGGAATCATTAAAACTAGTACTAGTCCATATTCTAGTCCAGTATTACTGGTTAAGAAGAAGGATGGAAGTTGGCGATTTTGCGTGGATTATCGGGCTCTTAATGATATCACGATCCCCGACAAATTTCCAATACCATGCATTGATGAGTTACTTGATGAGCTAGGGGGAGCCACCATATTTTCCAAGTTGGATCTTAAGTCAGGTTATCATCAAATTCGCATTCAAGCTGGAGATGAAGCAAAAACATCCTTCCGCACTCATAAGGGACATTATGAGTTTATGGTCATGTCATTTGGTTTGACAAATGCACCCTCAACTTTTCAATCACTAATGAATGATATTTTCAGGGATCATTTGCGAAAATTTATTTTAGTAATCTTTGATGATATTTTGATTTACAGTAAGGATTATACTTCACATCTGGGGCATTTGAAGGTTGTTTTGGATATTCTCAAACAGAATCAGCTGGTAATCAACAAGAAGAAATGCACGTTTGGTCAACTTCAAAGTATTTGGGTCATATCATCTCCTCTGAAGGAGTGCAGGCTGACCCCTCCAAGATTGACAGTATGATATCTTGTCCAAGTCCTAGAGATATAAAGTCTTTGTGGGGATTATTGGGACTCACGGGATATTACAGAAAATTTGTCAAAGATTATGGTAAGATTGCTGCCCCTTTAACTGATTTACTAAAAAAAGATGCCTTTTCATGGGGAGAACGCGCTCAACAGGCTTTTGAGGCATTGAAGTTGGCTATGACTCAAGTGCCTGTTTTAGCGATGCCAAACTTTTCTCAACCTTTGTAATTGAAGCTGATGCTTCGGGATTTGGTGTTGGTGCAGTTTTGATGCAAAATGGTAAACCTATTTCCTATTTTAGTCGAATGCTTTCTTCCAGAGCGAGACAATGTTCGGTATATGAACGAGAGCTAATGGCTATCGTGTTGGTTGTCAAGAGATGGAATCACTATTTGCTAGGCCATCATTTCATCATTAAAACTGACCAAAAAGCCCTTAAATTTTTGCTAGGACAGAGGGTTATGGATGAGAATCAACAGAAATGGGTTTCCAAGCTCATGGGTTATAAGTTTGAGATCAAGTACAAACCGGGTGTTGAAAATAGAGTGGCTGATGCTTTGTCAAGACGCAGGGAATCTTCAGTTATATGCGTTTTCAATTTCGCAATATAAAGACAAGGAGGAATGGGACCAGGAAGTACAACGAGACACGAAAATGGCTTCTATTTTGCAAAAGTCAATTTCAGGACAACAATCAGATGACAACTACAGCTTGAAGAATGGATGTACTATATAAAGGACGCTTGGTTTTGCCAAAAGGATCATCTCGAATACCTGGGATATTGAAAGAGTTTCATTCTTCTCCTATTGGAGGCCATTCGGGGCATCTTTGCACATATAAAAGGCTGTCCGAGAATATCTACTGGGAAGGTATGAAGAGGGATGTGCAAGACTTTGTTGCTAGGTGTGAAATCTGTCAAAAGAACAAGTCTCAAACTTTGAGTCCTGCGGGGTTACTCCAACCTTTGCCTATACCTCATCATGTATGGGAGGATGTAAGTATGGACTTCATTACTGGACTTCCTAAATCCCATAGGTTTGATACTATTTTGGTTGTAGTGGATCGTCTTACTAAGTATGCACATTTTATTCCACTTTCACATCCTTTTAATGCGAAAGATGTGGCAGCTATTTTCATTAAGGAAGTGGTTAAATTGCATGGATTTCCTAAGTCTATTGTGTCTGATCGTGACCGTGTGTTCATAAGCCAATTTTGGAAGGAACTATTCAAGCTAGCAGGCACTACCTTACGGTATAGCTCTTCCTATCATCCATAAACTGATGGGCAAACATAAGTGGTGAATAGAAGTTTGGAGACATATCTCCGTTGTATGGCAGGAGAAAATCCTAAGGAATGGTCCCACTGGTTATCTTGGGCTGAGTATTGGTTTAATACATCCTTTAACAGATCTACAAGTATGACACCCTTTAAAGCATTATACGGAAGGGATCCATCATCAATTTTCACATGGATGACACTACTTCAGCTGTGGAAGAAGTAAATGAGCAGGTGCACACTAGAAATCTAATCTTAACCGAACTCAAAGAACATTTGTTACAAGCACAACAAAGAATGAAGAATCAAGCTGATCGACATCGTAGAGAACTGACTTTTGAGATTGGTGAAATGGTATATCTCAAACTTCTGCCCTACAAACTACGTTCTTTGGCTAAGAAGATCAATGAAAAACTCAGTCCCCACTTTTATGGTCCTTACAAGATTCTGAAAAGATTGGTCCCGTAGCTTATTGGTTGGAGTTACCAGTTGGAGCACACATTCATTCAGTGTTTCATGTTTCACAGTTGTGAAAATGTTTGCTTCCAACTACTTCTGCTCAAAACATACCTCCATTTCTTACCCAAGAATTGGAGCTTCAAGTTGAGCCTGTGGCAGTGAGACAAATCAGGAAGCTAATCAATGGTAAATTGGAAGTGCTAATCAAGTGGAAGAACCTATCAGAATTTGAGAATACTTGGGAGGAATATGCAATCATCGATCAACAATTTCTAGACTTTCACCTTGAGGACAAGGTGATTCTTATAGGGAAGGGTAATGATGTGCCTCAAGTTATAAAAACTTATTCCAGGAGGCCAAAATAAATAATTAAGAAACTTAGTAACTGTCATGAGACAGTTACACATGTATTGGGTGGTTTTTTCTGTAGAAATAGGGGCAGGGAAGTTAAAACAAGGGTATTCAGAAAATAAAGAAAAGGGAATTCTGGGAGAGTTTCTAGCCTCTCGAATGTCTAGAAAGGTTGTGATCTTTATGATTATATAACTAAAGTTCATTATTGTCTTAGGATGTGATTTATTATGTCAGTAGTGTACTCGTGATTGTTTTGTTTTCAGACTTCTTGTTGTAATATCAGTGAATCTAGTGTGAAATAGCAGTATTTGTTCCTTTATTTTCTATTTCAGCAGTAAAGTCTATCAGATTCATTGAACATATTTAGTTTCAGAGACCAGTAGCATTATACCACAGTAACCCCCCTCCTTTTTTGTGTGTGTGGGTGGGCGGGGGTTGTTATTTTGGGGGTTATGTATTCCTTTATGAGTTCTTGTGCTATAAATTTCTTATGAGTTATTTTTGTGTACATTTTGTTGAGAGCGTGAGAAGTTGAATGCTGGCTCACTTGATTGAGATGCATCTTTGGAAAAACAAAATTCATCTGGTTGAACTGGTGAACAATATGCTAACTCATCCTGGGAAGTCGTTTAACAGTTAGCTGTTTTAGACTTTCTTGAATTTTTTGCTTCTAAAGAAGAGGATTTGTCATCTTTAAGTTGTAGGAAATAGGAATGATGTTCTCCTTTCACAATGATGAGAATAATAAATGGTTCTCTGCTGCACTGTGAACTTCGAGTGGCAATGATTGTTTAGAACTTGCTTGGCTGCAGATGGGGCGAAACATTAGTGAGTGTTGTGCTTGGTATAATCAAAGATCTTATCATCTTTATTCTCTTGCTTCTTCTGTTAATTGTGTACATGGACCATAAACATGATAAAATGGTTCATTTGTCGAGTGTGCTGTATACAACACATAATTTAATATGTATTTGTGGACTTAGTTTAGCGAATTAGGAGTGTGTGGTTGTGATTTTGAAAGGTTAAAAATTATCATGTGACACTTAAAAGACAAATTAAGAAATGACATTTGTTAGTTAGGATCTCTTTTTAACTCCTTTACTTTGCTCCAGGGACTCATTTTGGCTGGGTTAGGCAGAGAGTTAAATTGTAGTTGATTTATGTCGGACCTTTTTATTCCAATTTGTAGAAAACACTAGTACTGTGTTGTTGCATAAACTTTCTTGTTTTTGCTACTGTTTCTCACGAGTCTTTCAAAGGATTAAGTTGATTACTGTTTTAGGACAGGCTTTAACATAAAGCAATTTCATGTAAAAAGCTCAATATATTTCCTAATAAAGGTGCAGTCTCGCAGCTATTTGCAAAGTGGACCTCTTGAAGGAACTGAAACTCCTTTCTAGTGTATATCAGATGACTTATGACCTATTAGTCAGTCAGGAAAAGGAAGGTGCCTAGTACTGTAGGGATGAACACTCACAGTTCTTGATCACTGGTGCGCATTGATTTAGACAAGGCAGGAGCATAACTAATAGTATGATAAATCCTGATGCTGATATAACCTGTTTCCTGTTTATGAGATTGTGGCAACTCAAGTTTTAGTCTTGCAAAGGTCCAAAAGGAAAATAGTGCCCAAATGGTTGAACTGTGACTTTGCTGTAGTTGTTGCAATAACTAAAGCTTGTAGGTTCTTATACTCTTAGTCATCGGATAGTTGTCAGGATCACACAATCATGCATTCTTTACCTGATATTCGTGGTTCTGCAGGTATTGGTTATCCGTTGGTGCACAGCCTTCAGAACCAGTCCAACGCCTTCTTTTCCGAGCAGGCGTATTACCTCCTCCACCTATGCTGGCTATGGGACAAAAAGGTGGTCCACGGGACACTCGATTAGTTGATCCTATGACTGGACGCATCACGACACCTGAAAGTGCTAAAAGTGCCAATCCAACAGTTGGTTCTGAAGTTGAAGAAGACAAAGATTAGAATCTGACTAGTTGATTTTGTACAACTTCAATTCAAAGATCTGTTTTTTAGTATGTGACAATTGCAGCGCTGATGTTTGAATCTTGCAATCTTAGAATGCGTCATCTTCAAATATGCCCTGATCATGTCTCAATTTTGTCTCGTCTTGCTAAAGGGATATATTTTAACTATCTATGTTTAAATAAAATAGCACCCGTTAGATGTGACTTTTGATCTCTGTGCTTTATGCATTTCCTTACTTTTCCGCTTTGACTTTACAAAAGTCCAGTAATGAAGAGCATTCATAGTAATAAACTTCAGCTAGTTTGGTATCTAGAGGTAGTCTATGGATGTATTCGTAGAAATCTCTACTATTATAGAAATGTGAGAAAAGATGCTCTCAAATGTATGCTTGTTGTCAATAGCTAATTTCTGCAGGCAATATCTGTAAATTCGTCTGAGTTGCTGCTCATATACTTGAATTTTATTCCTATAGGTAGCAGCTCATATATGTTCGCCTCTCTCTTTCAGTAATAAACCTCATTGTGTATACCTTGATCCTACTTTCAGTCAATCTTCTATATTCTACAGTCTATGCTTCTCAGGTTGCTTTTTCGCCTTTCTGGTAAGCAATTTCTTCAAATTATTGGAGTCTTAAGTTGTTTTGGCAGTAAATATTGTGGCTTATGGAAATTGGTACTTTTGATGCATAAATTTTGTCAGATTTCTTTCTTTAGGTTTTGAAATTGTGGAATTCAATTTGCTGTCTCAATACGGAGATCAGAATGGTGCAGTCCTTTGAGCTGCATGTTGAATTTTCAGTCGATTGATGATGGAAATTGATAGCTAATCCTTGAAATTCATCTGATCCATAATTTTTGATTTGGGACGACAAGATAAACATCGTAGTTTTACCAAAATTAATGAACTGTTTGAAATTCTTTCATTTTTATTTTTGGAAAGTACTGAGCAAAATTCTCTCTTCACTTATGCTTCAGGAGATTTTATTATTTATATAATATATCTCTTGGACAATATTTAGAAAGTTCATTTGTTTTCTTCCAAATCAGAAATCATTAGAGCACACACAGTCAATGAATTTCTTTCTTTTCTTCTTAATTTACAGCTTCTTTACCGGTGGGTGCAAATTAATGATGCATCTGCTGCTATGTTCTGTTTAGTTTTCTCTGTTTCAGGTTTCACTCTATATTGTGATTATTGTTTGTTTAGCATATGATGTGTATTCAGCATTTCGGACTCTGGTGAGTATTTATTTTCAATATTTTCACGTTTTCAGTTTTGGTTCTTTTTGTTACTTTTATTGAACATCTATAATGTTGGCACCTTGATGCAAACAGAAAGTCTGTTAGGGAAGCAAATGTTGGAAGGTTCATTTTCACTGTCAACTATGCCCAATCAAATTATCTCCTATTCTCATTTATACACTTTCCTATTTTAACAAAATAGAACATGATAGACTGAGACTGACCAGTAATCTCCACATATACCAACATTTTGTCACGACAGTGCTTACCAACAAAATGATGGCTGGCTATATATAAAAATATAGTGCTATTACTACGGATGCAAAGAATAATGTGTCATCTGATAACCATATAACATCCTTGAATATTTATTTTGTTCCTAGGTGCATGCAAATAATTATAACGGTTATGCATTGTTGTCTGCTTGCACGGGCTGTTCCCATCTAGTTAGTAGTTTCACTAGACGCTCATGTGGTTTTGGAATTTAGAATAGGCCACCTGGAAAAGAAGAAAAGAGCAAGCTTTTCCTCTAAAAAGTAATGGCTATGAGTAGTTAAACTCGTCTTGTACTTCTGTTATTGCAATTTGTGACAGTCACATCTGTGTAGTTTTGAGTTGCTCGCTATGTTATAGGTATGTGATGGCTGAAGGCCGGTTCTTTTTCTTTCTTTTCTTTATGTGAGGTTCATGTCTGTGATATTACCGATATAAAGATGTATTCTTTTCTTTGTATCTATAAATTTGGTTTATCTGATTTTTATTGGTCACCACTAAATCAAAATTGCTTTACCATTTAAAGAGTTTGCAATGGTGGTGCCATTGAGTTGATTTTCTGTTTTCTTTTATCTCCTCTCACAAAGATATGTGGTGTTGATCGGGGAAGAATGTGTATGGTGAAGCTCCGTTTAGATGGCTCCTAGTGTCTAAGAAAGAATTGATCATAATTCATACAGCCTTTGGTGTTCTTAGTATAAGAACAATTGATGTTAATGATTTTACCATCAATTGCTGTAGAACGATACATTGAATTGGTTGTGCAAATGGCATTCGCAGCATAGTTCCTCATTTGTACTCTCATCAGCATCCAAATGTAGAATTCTTTTGCTCTGGCTTTGCATATTGAAAGGTATTAATCAGATTACTGAAAGGCACAAGAGCTGAGCCAATCTGTTTTATTTCTTTTTTTAATTTTGCGAAATTTTCGTAGTTAGACTCTGTTGTTACCTTGGAATTTTTATTCTAGTTGCATAAATTGAAGTACAGAACCAAATTATTTGTTGTCATGTTATGGTAATAAGGGGCACTAGGAGCAGATTCCACCATTTCACACTTTTTCCTAAGACCAAACACATGGTTTGATAATCTATTCGTGGCTTCTATATCCCCATGGTTGTATGGTTTGTGAATTTTTACCATACAACCATTCGTGGCTTATTTTCAAATTCTTAACTTAAGGCTGTTTGACAGACCGTACGGTCGATGATTGTAGCACAAGACTATGCCAAGATAAAGGGCAGTCCGGTCTGGTATACTAAACTCCTGCTATGCGTGGGGTCTGAGGAAGGGGCCATCTGGCTGCGTTTCTTTTTCTTCTAGTTGCTGATGAGAATTTGAGTAAACATTAACAAAAACTACTACTTAGGCAATTTGTTTCTTTTGCCTAATATCACAAGCTGCCAGAATTTGATGATCAGAAGCTGGTCCAGTTTTGTGTCTTTGTACTTTAGCAGCTGAAGTACTGCCTAGTGTCTCATTTTTACAAATAAAAAGTTAGAGAAGCTTAAATGATACAAGTTCAATTTCTGGTGTTTTGAGTTTCGAATATGAAAAGTAAATTCATATCAAGTGATATTATTAAAAACACTTAGAAATTCTATTATTGCAAGCTCAATGAGTAGCAAACCTCATAAAAACTATCTTCTCACATTCGAATATATATATATCTGAAACTTTCAAATGCACATGCTTGAAGTTCACCTTTAACAAGTCAAACTTCAAAGGAAAAAAAATAAAATCAAAAGTTTGCTTGCACATCAATATGCCAAATTTAGTTACAATCTTTTTACAACTTCAGTCTTCCATGCCTTGTCGTATGGAATGACTAAACTTAATTTTTTTTAATAAAATTAAGCTATGACATAAATGGTGGTCTCAAATATCAATATGTTTACACTTCCCCATTTACTTAACCGTAAAGCCCTTCCTATTAAAGCAATCGATAATCAAGTATTTAAAGTTAAAACTAATTTTATAAATAATCAATAATGTAAAACTGTACCAATATTGGATGAAAACCAACAAATTGTACCAGAGGTTTAAGGAATACGGACACTTGGTACTTCTATACTTGCTGCTTTAGAGGTCTGTGAGGCTTTGGTGCTGAAATCATAGAAACAAGAATTACTCAAACTTTTCCACGAGACAAAACAAGTTAGATGTTGGAGAAGAAAGTATCTTTAGAAAGAAACATGCAACACGTAAGAGATGGATGAGCAATCATTTTCTGAACTTGATGAGAACAGCCTCAAAGTCTTAGCATGATTTCTGAATGCATATTCCCCATATAAGACAAATTTTCTGAGCCAATTAGGAGTCTAATTACTCTTCTGTACTTGATTTAAAAAATGAAAAAAAAAAAAAACGAAATCAAAGTATGTTCTGACATCATATTTAGACATACTGATGTGTGAAATGACTAATGAGCATCTTCTCTGCTCTTCAAACCCCCTCCCAATTTTATTTTATTTTTAAAAAAGATTTTACCCTGTCAAAGCTTGATTGAGACCTTTACTTTGTAAGCTGAAAGAGATTAATTGCAGTCCGCCAGTTACGCTCCTCTTTCAGAAAATGGTGCAAAACCTCATATTTATATATTGTTAGTAGACCACTAACAGTCACGTCGGGGCACTGTTTCTCCAGACAATACTATGTAATATATGATAGTTATGCTGAATGAATGAGATTTGAAGCAATATTGAATAAAAAACTACGACACACGAATTGAGCCCTGACTTCATTCCAGGGTAATTTCTATCAGGATTTCTAAATATATTGATTCATTTGCGAAAACATCAAATTCAGTGACACGATGACTGATGAAAGCAGATAATTTCCAGGTTGAAACTACTAGAGTCTGTCAGTCATCTTCCACTATCTGTATAGTATCTAGTGTCAAACAGCATTTACTTGCACTATGATGTTATGGAGATAGAGACATACCATTTGGATTTCCTTGCTCATAGAAGCTCCGAAGAAGAGAAACTGCTTCAGAAGCCATTATTCCCCCAATGCATTTGAAACCCTTTTTTGATGAGGCTAATTCACTGTTATGTTTTGAACTTCCATAAATTACCCATTTGTCACTCGATGTTTTTTCTTGAAAAGCTGAATTATAGGAATAACATTCAGTATATTAAATCAGTTTGGGATCAAACCTAGTTGGAAGATTAGAGCTGCTGGTATGCAGTGATAGTACAGATCCACAGCCTCCAAATTTATCATTTGCACATCCATAATATGCCTCCTTTATTCCTTGCAGAGGAAACATATTATGTTAGAGAAATGTGCTAGTGATATATAAAGCAAGACCAGCAGATACTGAAATGCTTCAACATACCAAGATATGACAAGGCTGCTGCGCACATTATACATGGCTCACAGGTGACATACAGAATGCACTTTGAGAATCTTTCAGAAACTTCAAGAGGTGAAAGTCCATTTTTCTGCCACTGTTGAACTAGAAAATCAATTGCTTCCATCTCTGCATGTCTTGTAGCCTGGATTTATAGGAATGCTTAGTCAGGTTTACATGATTAGGAGATAAGTGCACCTCACT